AACCGCAAGGTCAGCAGTTCGAAACTACCAGCTGCTCCGCAGGAGAAAGATGAGGCTTTTCTGCTCCCGTAAAGATTTACAGCCTCGGAAACCCTGTTCAGGGTCACTATGGGTCGGAACCGACTCCATGTCACTTAACAACAATAACAACAACAACATCACAATAGCATAGTGGTTACGAATTGGGCTGCAAACCTTAAGGTCAGCAGTTCGAAACCACCAGGCGCTCCACGGGAGAAAGATGAGGCTTTCTGCTCCTGTAAAGATTTGCAGCCTGAGAAACCCTGTACAGGGTCACTACGGGTCCAGAACCGACTCGATGGCACTTAACAACAACAACATCACACAAGTAGTCCCAAGGAGTCCTGGTGTGGTGCCGTGGGTTAATGCGCCAGACTGCAAAGCCATTTGAACTGCAAGGTCAGCGGTTCATGCTCAGCAGTCACACCTTGGAAACCCTTTACAGGGTCACTATATAGGTTGGAATCGACTCAACAGCTCTTAACAACAACAACATCACACAAGTAATAGACTACATACAGTATAGTGTAAAAAGAAGTTATATGTGGAGACTTCAAAATACTTGTGGGAAAATTGTTATCTTTTCATTCCATTTTCCTACAACCTTTGGAAGCACCCTGTATGCACTGGGAAACCAAAACTTCCAGCTTGACAAGTTTCATTGCAATCTTCCTGCACTTTGTTGCCGTGGTCTGGAACTCATCCCATGAGATCGCTGAGGTGTGCCCATGCCAGGTGTGTTCCATGTAACTATCCACCAGTGGCTCCTCGGAAACCCTATACAGGGTCACTATGGATAGGAAGGAGCACTGGTAGCGTAGTGGACTGCTAACCTCAAGGTCAGCCATTCAAAACTACCAGCAGTTCTGCAGGAGAAAGAGGAGGCTTTCTGCCTCAGAAACCCTATAAAGGGTCGCTATGAGTCGGAACCTACTCCACAGCACACCACCACCACCATGGGTTGGAACTGACTCCACGGCACTTAACACCACCACCCTAACCTAGTGCTCCTGTGAATTTCAGCTTGCAACTTCAAGGCCAGATGCAGGGAGTAGTTTATGCCTAGAAAGCCCAATCAAGCTGGCATTGAAAACGAGGCTTACTGAAGGTACCATTTGCTCTGGAAGAGGCCCTCACACAGCTCTGATGTTTCAGGTTAAGTGTGAATGGCGGGCTCACCAAGCCGGCACAGCAGGTGTTCACAAAAATCCTACTAAGCCCCTGTACTAGGTGGTGATTTCACCACAGAAATGTGCTTTAGAGGGGAAGAGGAGGGTCAGATACAGGGATGACCTTGCATCCAACATAAACAAGCTGATTCAGATTCTAAATCCAAATCAGGTGTGAAGAATACAGGTTAATGTTCAGGAGAAGGGAAAATGCTATGGAATGCTTAGGATTTAGAGAACAAAAAAGAAGACCCTGTAGATATTATGAAAACAGCACCGGGAAGGTGAGAAGAAATTTGAACTACTCTTTTCATTGTAGCTGTTGAGGACGCCTGTAAGAGCACTTTGGAAGCATGTGATCTAGTAACAAGCTCCGCCTGGTTACTGGAGGTCTTCCATTGTTCCGAAATGGGATTCTTTGTATAAACGAAGCTGAAATGACTTTGCTCACCAAGAGAACAGAGCACAGAACTGGTTCTGCTGAATCACTGATCTACTCTTAGTCTCTTAAAATCTAACCTCAGCCATCAAATAGACAACACTGGTAAGTTTTCTCCTGCCAAGTTGACCTACCTACCCAAGTCAAACCCATGGCGTACCTATGGAACTGTCCCACAGGGATTCCAAAGCTGTAAAGCTTTACGGAAGCAGAAAGTCACATCTTTCTCCAGCAGGATGGCTGGCGGGTTTGAAGACTCAGTCTTACCATTAGCAAACGAGCACTTAACCACTGCACCACCATGGCTCCAGATTGACCTAGGTCACCTGCAATTCAAAACTGAAGTCTAAACCTCATTGACACTATGCTTAGCCTGCTGAACTAAACAGGGTTCACTTGCACCAAGAATGTATTTTCTTATGCTTCTCCAAGCCTCACAGTTCATTTAAAAACAGAAACGAGACACTTAGCTCTGAGCCAAAACTAAACCTCAGCTGAAAAGCATCTAGGAAAAAGACCCAGACAGAAACTCACGTAGGGCTTCCTTCTCCCCATCCATGCCTGAGGGACACCTGTGAGTATCTTTCCTGAGCTACATGTGCTAGTTTATCCAGATATTTTACGTTCCCAGAGTCCTGGTGTGGCGCTGCGGGTTAATGCTCTGGACTTCAAGGTCAGTTTGAACCACAAGGTTGGCGGTTCAAGGTCATCAGTTGCTCCTCAGAAACCTTATACAGGGTCACTATGAGCCAAAACAGATTCAACAGCGCTTCAGTTTATGTAGCTATCGACAGCTGCTATACAAAAAGAGGCCTGGTGTGGAGCTGCAGGACCAGCACTGGACTGCAAACCACAAGGTGGGCAGTTCAAACCCAACAGCTGCTCATCGGAAACCCAATACAGGGAAGCAACTCGTTGGCACTTACATAGACAGCTGCTACTCGTGGAGTAGTAGGATTGTACGTTCTAATTCTCACAAGCAGGCTGCATTCCCCTGATACACTGAATAAGGAACCAATCAAAAGTGACTTGTCCAGGGCCAGCCACCCACTGAGAAGCTGAGCTAGAACCCCACAACAGGTTTGCAACCTCTACCTCACTGTACCCATCTGTGAAATGGCCTGGCTGCAAAGCACACACAGTTTCCACTACACTCCACAACACTTCCAGAGCCTTCCCACTTCAGCTGTGGACCAAATCCCACCATCAGAGCTGCCATCTAGTGCAAGTCTACCATGTACCAAGAGCTTTGAAACATCATCTTCTTCAGTCCATATATCAAGGGGAGTGATGGTATTCACCTATGGATAAGGCACGCATGCTCAGAGAAGTCACTTGTCCGAGGCTGCCTACCCCGATTAAACTGAGGTCTGGTTAATGCCAAGTTCATGCCCTTCTAGCCAGGACCTCCAAGGTATCAGAACGACCTGAGTTGGTAACAATTCAACAGCATGCCAGTTTGGAGAAAACAGCAATGGGCTGAATATGGCTGTGAGAAAATGACAAATAGATACAAAATCAAACCCAGAAGAAACATACACTTAAGCAGATGCAAAAGCTGGGGCTCAGGTGACTGCAGGTGACCCCTGGGACAGGGCAAGGGCATTCCAGGTGAAGGGCAGATTCTGAAGCGCAGAGGATAAAATGAGCATGACACCTGCTTGTATTGTTTTAATGCAGGTAAATCGTACTTTTAGGAGAAAGAAAACAAGAATGCGTTGTGTGAATATGGGTGCCCACAGGACATAGCATTTAATTTGTTTTAAACAATCTTTCCATTTTCATCTACTATATTTCATCATTCTTATCCTGTTCAACCCTATCTGGTATTTCCAAGGTAATGTCTACGCTGGGGCCAAAGTCACTTTGTCTAGTTTGCCATCTGTCTTAAGAGCATAAGAAGATGGATTTCCAGATTTATCTGAGCCAAGGGTTTCTTAGCCCAAACTTAACTGTATTGTTTGTTTTTCTTTATCCCTTTTTGGTGCAGAACACCCCAGGCAGGCCCAAAGGCAAGAGCATACAAACATCTGCATAAAACTCAGAATTTCATCATTTTTATTTTACTCCAGAGTGCCCACACTACACCATAATCATGAAAAGATTGCAGCCTCAGGCATTTTATTACAAAAATGTGGTATGACCCTCAATGTAACATAAAGAAAGGCTGGCCACAGACAGAAAAGAGAGTTCAACAGTCGGGAATTTCTACAGAGAAAACTTTAATAAATCCTTTGCCAGGTAACAGTTTTAGAGTAGAAAGTTTTTAAACACTTAAAATATAAATGAAGCTTTATTTCCTAGACACAAAAGACTGAAAACAAAGACTTTACACATATAATTTACTTATGCTAGCTGTGTGTGCAATTGCAGAAACAGCAGCATAGAAAAAAAATGTTTTTTTTAACTTTCTGAAGTCAAAGTGGCTTGATTTACTAGGCTCAGGCATCATACTTCCAAAAATGAGAGGCTCCAAAGTCAGGCGAAGCGGAGAGTGTTAATGAAGTTAGTGCTGGTATACTGACACCCTAAAGAAAAATCAAGTTTTCAGTTTAAGTATCAAGGACATGCAGAAGGCACATAAGAAAAAAAAAAATCCCTCCAATGTTTGGGTCTAGAAGTGACTTCTCGGGGTAGTTTTTGCGAGGGGCACTCCAGTCAGCTCCGACTCACAGCAACCCTGCACAGGGTTTCCAAGGAGCGACTGGAGGATTTGAACCGCCGACCATGTGGTTCACAGGCACAGCGCTTATCTTACAGAGTCACACCAGGACTCCCCGGATGACTTCTAGTGGTCTGAAAAGCCTATCTATCTCAATCTCTAGCCAACACCTTAGGCTGGCTGGCAGGCAGACTCTAACCCTAAAACGCAGGGCCCTGGTCCAAGACTCGGGCGCTGGGAGGTCACAGAGAAGGCGTCTGGGAAAGGTATCAAGTGAAAGAGGGAGAAGGCATCCGTCCTGTGTGTGTGAATCAGAGGAAGAGCACTGAGTGTCAAAGGGCAAGCGAAGAACAGGCTCCTTAAAATGCAAATTCACCTGAAGAAAAGCAGGGCTTGGGTCCTGGAACCAGGAGGAGTAGGAAAAGACCCATTTCACAGACGGGTACAATGAGGGAGAGGTTGCAAACCAAGCCCCACAATTAGTGAGCAGTCCAGCTGGGGCCAGACTGGCACCACATTCTCCCAGCACAGTGACCAGCACCTGCAAACCCCCGGAAACTTTTCCCATTGTGGTTCTCCAGTCGTCAAAGTCGGGCCTTTCCCAGGAGCACTGGGGGCCGGGACTGGGGACACAAGCTGCAGGTCCCGAGAGCCTGAGGCTTGGGGTCTGAGTCCCAGTACTGGGGCCCCGCCCGCCCCGCTCACTCACCCGGATGCCCTTCACCACCGTGATGTTCTCATTCTCGTCCGCCTCGAAGGTGACCCGACGGGTGCTGGCCGTCCCGCCCATTGCTCCCGCGTTTGCTCCCGCAGAGGACTAGCACGGACTCACGAACACCGCAGGGCCCACGAGAGCATACGTGTGCAGGAGCGCCCAGACGCTCCCCGTGCACAGCGAGAGCAAGGCCACGACCCCAAGGAGCAAGGAGAAGGCGCCGATCCCGAGTCCCCGCCCCTCCGGTCACGTGTCACAACAAGACTGCTTTCGATTGGTCAGAGTTAATAAAAGCCCGCCTCCACGAGGCGCGGACGCTCGGGTTGGTTGGTCCAGACCCGGATGCTATGGCAACAAGTAGTGTTTTAACAAGGCTTCCGGAGCCCCTAAGCATAGTGGGAATTGTAGTCTCAATATGGCCCGATGAGTGCTGGAACTTCCTCGCCTTAGTCCTGAGAACGAAAAGAAAGCATGGCATTCTGGGAGTTGTAGTCTTAATGGCCCAAAAGTCTTCCAACTTTGCAACTGTCAATTAAGTTTATTCACCCAACAAATATGCTTTCATGACCTGCTGTATGACAGAAAGTATTCTAGAAAATTACGTTTGCTAGTTAAAAAACAAAATCTCTTCCCTAAAGGAACTCATAGTTTTAATGTAAAAAATGAATTCTCTCTCCTAAAGAATTATGAAACTTGTAGAAGAATTGATGCATCCGAGTTATAATATTGGAGAAGAACAATGAAAGTAACATGGACTTCCACAGAGCAAACAAATCTGTCTTGGAAGAAGTACAACCAGAGTGCTCCTTAGAAGCTAGAATGATGAGACTTTTATCTCTCATACTCTGAACATGTCAGGAGGGACCAGTCCCTGGAGTAAAGTAGAGGGTCACGGAAAAGAGGAAGACCCCAACAAGATGGATTGGCACAGTGGCAGCAGCAACGGGCTCAAACGTAACAACAATTGTGAGGATCGTGTGAGACTGGACAGTGTTTCGTATTGTTGGGCATAAGGTGGCTATCAGTCAAGACCAACTTGATGACACCTAACAACAACAACTATAGAGCCATTCTTAGATTCCTATAAACAATATCCCTGAGGTAAAGCTTAGCATTTCTTTATTCTAGTCTTAGTCATAATAAGCTAATTAATTAATTAACTGTACTAGGCCCATGGTCTTATCACTTGAACTATATATTTCTACTTCTTTTTATTTAAAAAAAATTAACTATGACTTTCAAACCTGTATATGTTAGTAAATGCCATCAAACAGAACATGGAAACACTGAATGTTTTAAAATTGGGAAAGGTGTGAGACAGGGTTGTATTCTTTCGCCATACTTATTCAACCTGTATGCTGAGCAAATAATACGAGAAGCTGGGTTCTATGAAGAAAAACGTGGCATCAGGATTGGAGGAAGACTCATTAACAACCTGCGATATGCAGATGATACAACCTTGATCGCCTTAGTCTTCTGAATTTAAAAAGAGAAAAAGAGATGCATCCTGTTCCTCAAAAACCACCTACTATGATTCTATTGTCCTGGACAAGTCCACTTCCAGACAGGCCTCCTCTACTGCCCCCTCTAAAGAAAACATCATGAGCACCCAGACCTGTGGCCTCCCTTTCTCTCTCAGGTCACAGTTTATTATTGATCATCTGACACAAAGGCAGCATTGACCAGCCAGAGATCTAGACAGAGACGCAAAGCTTTGCCCAGTTTCTGTCAAGCTGATTCTGACTCACGGTGGCCTCATGCATGTCAGAATAGAATTTTGTTCCATCTAGTTTTCAATGGCTGATTTTTTTAACGGAGATTGTCAGACCTCTTCACTTCCAGCAAGCATGGTTGTATCACCTGCACATCACAGGTTGTCCATGCGCCTTCCTTCAATCCTGATCCCACTTCTTCATATAATCCTTCATTCTTCTTCATATAATCCAGTTTCTCAGTTTACTTGCTCCGCAAACAGATTAAATAAATATGATTAAAAAGTTACACTGCACACGTCTCCTGATTTTGAACCATTCAGTGTCTCCTTGTTCTGTTCAAACAACTGCCTCTTGGTCTATGTACAGGTTCCCCATGAGTATAATTCAGTGTTCTGGAATTCTTATTCTTCGCAATGTAATCCAGAGTTTGTTATGATCCACATATGGAATACCTTTGTATAGTCAATAAAGGGCAAGCACACATCTTTCTGGTATTCTCTGCTTTCAGTCAAGATCTATCTGGCATCAGCAATGATATCCCTTGTTCCACGTTCTCTTCTGAATCTGACTTGAATTTTTGGCAGCTCCCTGTTGATATACTGCTGCAATCATTTTTAAATGATCTTCAGCAAAATTTTACTTGAATGTGATATTAATATTGTTTGATTATTTCCGATTCCATTGGACCAACTTTCTTTGGAATGCCCACAAATATTGACCTTTTCCAATTGACTTGCCAGGTAAGTGTCTTCCAAATATCTTGGCATAGATGAGTGAGTGCCTCCAGTGTTGCATCAGTTTGTTGAAAGACTTCGATTTGAATTTTGTCAATTCCTGTAGCCTTATTTTTCACCCATATCTTCAGTACAGCTTGGAGTTCTCCTTCAATGCCGTGGGTTCTTGATCTTATGCTACCTCTTGAAGTTGTTGAACCCATTCTTTTTGGTACAGCGATTGTGTATATCCTTCCATCTTCTTTCAATATTTTGTCCATAGACTCCTTCGGTATTGCAGCCTGAGACTTGAATTTATTTTCTTCAGTTCTTCAGCTTGAGAAATGCAGACCATGTTCTTCCCTTTTGGTTTTCAAACTCAGGGATCTTGGCACATTTCACTATAATTGGCACTTGACTGTTTTATCAAGCTGTCCTTCTAAATGTTCTGTTCTACTTTTTTTTATCTCCTCATTTCTTCCATTCTCCTTAACTTCTCTACATGTAAGAACAAGTTTCAGAATCTCTTTGGACATCCATTCTGTTCTTTTCTTTCTTTCTTATCATTTTAGTGGTTAGTGTGTTAATTTGAACAATAGTGGTATTAATGAATTTCCTTCTAAGTCTATCATAAACAGCATTGTACTTGAAGAAAGATCTTGAAATGCTTTTTTTTTTTTTTTTCTGTCAATGAATGTGATGCCATTTTTCTTCATTTTTTCATTTCCGGCATCGTAAGCCATATGATTATCTGATTCAAAATGGCCATATCCCAGTCCCCTTGGCTCAGTGAGGCCTTGGCTAGCGCTCTTTATACATCCCATTTCATTTTTGATGACTTCTAATTTTTCTAGTTTCGTAGTAGGTACATTCCACATTCTGATTATTAATAGGTGTATAGAGCTGTTTCTTCTTATTTTGAGTCGTGTCCTGTCAGCAAATGAAGGTCCTGAAAGCTAGCTCCATCTATGCCATTAAAGTCAACTCGACTTTGAGGAGGGAGCTCTTCCCTAGTTGTATTTTGGTGCCTCCCAATCGGAGGAGCTCATCTTCTGCCACTGTATCAGACAATGTTCCCCTGTTACTCATGGGTTCTCAGGGGGTAACCAGCAGAAGTGGGCCACCTCTCCTTCTTCCTAGTCTGTCTTAGTCTGGAAGCTCTAGTAAAATCTGTCTGCCGTGTGTATTTAAAATATTGGTGGCAGAGCTTCCAACATCACAGCAACACACAAGCCACCATAGAGCGACAAGCTGTAATTCTTGGTGTTGGGGGGGGTTTGTAGATGTATTTGCTTCTATTGTCACATGGTACCCCTCTCCCCCATGTTGGTCTCATTTTGACTATTTTTTTTACAAAGACCACTCAGAAGTGATTAGGTTTAAGTCCCACCCTCCTCCACGTAGTCTCATTAATGTAACGAAAGGAAACCTCGATTTCTAAACAGCATCACCTTCACAGGTACAGGGGTTAGGACTTCAACATATATTTGGGGGAGATACAGTTCAATCCATAACTAATCCAAATCACTCTAACACACACAGTTCCAGAAGTCTCCATGAGAGTGGACCACAGGCAGTGATTTTTCCATCCTAACTTAAAACAAAATGTTGCAAAAGGCAAAACCCTGGTGACCATTTTTCTTCACACATCACCTGGCATACTGGGGAGAATGGTTGTTGTGAAGATAAAGTGACAACTCATAGCGACTCTGTACAAGGTTTCTGAGCAGCAGCTTATGGGTTTGCAGTCCAGTGCTTATCCTACAGTCCACACCAGGACTCCGGGGGAGAGTGAAGGATGAGGTGAATGAGAAGAAGTGGCACTGATAGAAAGAGCATGGCAGTGCCATAGATTGAATTGTGTTCAGCAAAAAACTGTAAACATACATTTTGTAATCTCTATGCCTATGGTTATAATCCCATTGGGAAATGGGTTGCCTTTGTTACACTGATGATATAGGATCAGGATAAGGTGTGTTTCAGCTCAATCTCTACTGAGATACAAGAGGCAATAAACAAGCAATAGGAACTCTTGTAGCGTAGTGGTTACAAATCGGGCTACAAACCTCAAGGTTGGCAGTTCAAACCAGCCGTTCTGCAGGAGAAAGATGAGGCTTTCTGCTCCCGTAAAGATTTACAGCCTCAGAAACCCTGTACAGGGTCGCTATGAGTCAGACCCGACTCCACAGCACATAGCCACCACCACCACCAAACAAGCAATAGAAAGAGGCAGAGGTGGGGGAAGACTGATGTCAAGCCACATGAAGTGTTCTAAGGAACTGGAAAAGAAGCTAAAGAAACAAGGACCTTCCCCCAGAGCCAAGAGAGAATACCTTCACCTAGAGAGCGAGCAGTACTCTGAATCCAAATTTCTAGCGTAGTGGTTAAGAATCGGACTGCTAACCTCAAGGTAGGCAGTTCAAACCTACCAGTCATCCCGTGGGAGAAAGATGACGCTTTCTGCTCCCATAAAGGTTCACAGCCTCGGAAACCCTGTACAGGGTCGCTATGAGTCAGAACTGACTCCCTTGTACTTAACAACAACAGGATGGCCAAACTTCATTTCTCATTCTTTGCACATATTGTCAGGAGGGACCAGTTGCTGGAGAAGGATATCATGTTTGGTAAGGTGGAGGGTCAGAGAAAA